TGTATGTCACAGCTGCACACCCTTCCAGTTGCTGTATGTGGGACTCGGCCCCAGGATGGACAGAGAAGTGGTGCCTCAATGCGCACCCGGGATCCAAACCCGGGCCGCCAGCATCGCAGCGCGCGCACTTAACCACCAAGCCACAGGGCCGGCCCTGGCCCTCAGTTTCTAAATTAATGAATGTTATTTACTTTATCCTACTATATATAGTATAATATGTGTCTGTATATGTGTAATTTCATAACATAATTTCAAAATAATGATACCAATACTAACAATAGGATTGCTGATAACAGTTTAAGGTTTCTTGGTGCTTCTTTTTGCCTAGAACTATATACCACTAAGGGGCGTACAATTAAATTACTGTTTCATTTCACTTGAAATAATTCTCTTTATTGTTAAGATACTAACTTGATAAATGGTTGGGTTCATCTGTTTCATTTTTAAGAATTTCTTTCAACTGGGTTTAATTTTGTTTTATACTTATTTGAAACACTTACATGGTTCCAAAGTCAGAACTACAAAAAAGGTGTAGTTGGAGAAGTCTAGCTTCCTTCTGTCTCCACCCTGTTCTTGTCCTCTCTGCAAGTGACCGTTTTCTGTTAGCTTTTGGGTGTTGTGTCCATTCTTTAAAAACAAAAGCAAATACCTACGTGTGTATTTATCTCCCCCTTCCCAGATAAAAGATAGCTTACCATGTGCACTGTTCTGGACCTTGCTTCTTTTGCACTTAATTTATCCTGGCAAGCACTGCTTAGCAATGTGTAGAGTTTTCCTCATTTCTTTATATAACAGCATAGTACTCTGTTGTGTGGGTGTATAGTACAAACATAGTTTATGACATTTTTTAATTTTATTTATTTATTTTTTCCCCCAAAGCCCCAGTAGATAGTTGTATGTCATAGTTGCACATCCTTCTAGTTGCTGTATGTGAGACGCGGCCTCAGCATGGCTGGAGAAGCGGTGCGTTGGTGTGCACCCGGGCTTGGAACCCGGGCCACCAGCAGCGGAGCGTGCGCACTTAACTGCTAAGCCACCGGGCCGGCCCAATGACATTTTTGATATAAAGAAGTTATGGGGTTTTTCCCCTCATTTAATCCACTTGAAATTTATTTGATGCTTGGTGGGAGATGTTTATTTTTTTAAATATTCCTACTATTTTACCACCACCCACTTTTTCCTCCTGATTAGTAAATATCTCTTATCACCCTAAATACTATCCTGGAGCTCTTTCTCAATATTCTTTTCTAGGGGCTGGCCCCATGGCCTGGTGGTTAGGTTCAACATGTTCTGCTTCGGTGGCCACGGTTTGGTTCCCGGGCGTGGACCTACACTGCTCGTCGGCAGCCATGCTGTGGCGGCGACCCACATACAAAATAGAGGAAGATTGGCTCAGATGTTAGCTCAGGGTGAATCTTCCTCAGCAAAAGAAATATATATATTCTTTTCTATTTCTTTGATACATTTTTTAATTCTTATACCAGGATCATCGTATTTTATTTATTTATTTTTTTGTGAGGAAGGTCAGCCCTGCACTAGCATCCATGCAATCCTTCTCCTTTTTCTTTTCTTTTTTTTTTGTGAGGAGATCAGCCCTGTGCTAACATCTGCCAATCCTTCTCTTTTTTTGCTGAGGAAGACCGGCCCTGGGCTAACATCCCTGCCCATGTTCCTCCACTTTATATGGGACGCCGCCGCAGCATGGCCTGCCAAGCAGTGTGTCGGTGCGTGCCCGGGATCCAAACCGGTGAACCCCGGGCTGCCACAGCAGAGCCCGTGCACTTAACTGCTTGCACCACTGGGCTGGCCCCTAATCCTTCTCTTTTTGCTGAGGAAGACCGGCCCTGAGCTAACATCTATTGCCAATGCTCCTCCTTTTTTTTCTTTCTCCCCAAAGCCCCAGTAGATAGTTGTACGTCATAGTTGCACATCCTTCTAGTTGCTGTATGTGGGACGCCGCCTCAGCATGGCCTGAGAAGTGGTGCGTCAGTGCACGTCCAGGATCTGAACCCCGGCCGCCAGTAGCGGAGCGCGCACACTTAACCGCTAAGCTACGGGGCCAGCCCCCATCCTATTTTAATTGATGTAGCTTTATAATACATCTTAATACCTAAAAGGGAAAACCCATCATGAATTTCCTGTAGAATTTTGTTGTTTGTATTCTACCTGGGACAAGTTGGTTTAAAATGAGAGGCCTCATTGATTTAACAGATAAAACTATGAAATATGTTTATAGGACAGAACATAGAAAATAATGCAGAGCTTCTCAATTCATTTTATAATTTTGATAGTCAAATTCTAACAAAATAGCACACTGAAAGAAATGTGCATGTCAGTCTGACTTATATGCAATCTCACTTATGAACAGAAGATCTAAATAAAAGATAAATCAAATTTATTAGTGCCTCAAAAAAATAATGCACTATAACCAAAGAGGTGTTATTCTAAGAATAATATAAAGCTGGTTCAATATGAAATCTGCTCATGAAATTCATTTTACTAATAGGTTAATGGAGCAAAATCATATGCTTATCTCATCAGATGTTATAAAAGTATATGCTAAAATTCAACATCCTTTCCTGATTTAAAAAAACCTTGTAGTAAACTAAGAATAAAAATGTGTTCCTCATTAATATGATAAATAGTATATATTTCAGGTATTCCCTTAAAGTTGGGAAAGAAATAAAAATATACCACATTGTTACTGTTGTTTAATGTTGTTATAGACGTTTTAGCCAATAGAAGGTAATAAAAACAAAGTATAAATATTTAAATGAAGAAATGTAATTTGATGACAGTGTGATTGTCTACCTAGAAAGCCAAGAGTAAAAAGCTGGAAACTATTAGGTTTTTTTTTGTTTGTTTGTTTTGTTTTTTTTGTAAGGGAGATTAGCCCTGTGCTAACATCCATGCTGATCCTCCTCTTTTTGCTGAGAAGACCGGCTCTGAGCTAACATCTATTGCCAATCCTCCTCCATTTTTTTCCCCCAAAGCCCCAGTAGATAGTTGTATGTCGTAGTTGCACATCCTTCTAGTTGCTGTATGTGGGACGTGGCCTCAGCATGGCCGGACAAGCGGTGCGTCGGTGCATGCCCGGGATCCGAACCCAGGCCACCAGTAGCGGAGCGCGCGCACTTAACTGCTAATCCACGGGGCCGGCCCCTAATGAGACTTTAATAATGTGGCCAAAATTTAAAATATTCTGGCAAAAAAAGAGTTAAAAATATGATGAAATTATATAATACCTAGAAATAAACTAGCATAAAGTGGATGTGATATACATAAAGAAAAGTACAAAACTTAATTAAATTTATAGACTTGAATAAACGGAATAATTTACCATGTTCCTGAAGCCTCATTAAAATAAGCTATCAGATTTGCCCAAGTCAGTAAATTTTGTGAAATTCTAATAAAAAATATGTTAGACTGTTTCAAAAAAGAAACCTTGTGGTGGCAGACTTGCATTATCAAATATAAAAACATTTTCTAACACTACAGTTCAAGCAGTTTCTTTTTGCCTAGGAACAGACAGCAAGATTAGTGGAACAGAATAGCAAGCCCAGAAGGAGACATATTTTTTGTAGGATAATTAATATATTATAAAGGTTATCATTTCAAATCAGTGGGGAAAAGATGGATTATTTAGAACCATAAAAGTAAAGATTAAATTTATCCCATTCTTTCATCTTATTAATTCCATATTTCTTGGATGTTTAAGTGTAAAAACAAAGAGACAAACAAAAAAAAATAAATCATTATGTTCAGTGGAAAAAAACATAGGTGAATATTTGAATTATATTAAGGTATAGAGGCCCTGTGTAAGCAAAGCAAGAAAAACAAATGTCATAATGGAAAAGATCAATAGATATGAGTACGTAAAAGTTAAAGTCATATTCAAGTTAGGAAACATGTTTGTAATATACACAGCAGACCTAAATTTAATGTCCTTGATACAAAGAGACCTCTTGCAATTTATGGCAAAAAAAAAGATAAATAAATCACTCTCTACCTCCATCCCATTAATGGGAAAATGAGCAAAGGACAGGACAAGCAGCTTATAAAAGCAAAAATGTAATTGTCTAGTACATTTGAAAATAAATGCAAAATCACCATTAATACATGGAATGCAGATTAAAACACAGTATCATTTTTATCTAGACTTTTGTCATAAGCTTTTAAAAAATTATTCCAGCCAGTGTTGGTGAGAGCACGGAAGAATCCGTACTTACATACTGTGGATGTGTTGGTAATTTGGTATTACCTTTAAGAGAACAGGAAAGCAATAAATATCAACATGTTGAATGTGAGTATTCCACTGGCACAACAATTCCAATTCTAGAAATGTATTGACTTGTGTGAGGTACGAGTCCGCCCCACAGGGTGCCTAGGGTATTACCACTAAGCTCTGCCTCTGTCACCCTGACAGAACGGCTTTCCTACCACAGAGGACCAAGCTGTGGCTGAGAGAGCTCTGCAGGAAATGCGGGACCTCCTTACGAACTTGCAGCAGGAGATCGCCAGGGCCTGTGAAGACAAGAGGAGGCAGGATGAAAAGGAGGCCCAGATAAAGCAGCAAGAGTCACAGATGCAGCAGGGGCCACAGGTCCACAGAGAGTCCCGAGCTCCCAGCCTGGGCCCGGGAGGGAAACAGAATGAAGGTGAGTTTGGATGTGGATGTGGTCCTTTAACTGAGTGTAAGTTTCAGAATGTGAAAAGAAACAAGACTGTGTTTTTAGTATTGTATTAAACTACAGGGCAATTTGCCAGAACTTTTACATAATGTAAAATTTAGTACTTGTACTGAATTACGTTTAGTTTTGGATGATATGGAGCTTGACTTCAGATTCCAACACTTTCCATGAAGACTTGAAATTCTGTATAATTCTAGTAGATGTGTCATTCCAAGAGTTGCTGTTGTTGAGCGTTTTCAATAAATATGTACAAAATGTATGTTCGTTTAATACATAAGAGAATCAATATAGCATAATGGTTGTGAATGCTGGCTTTGGAGCCATATCTGTGGGAATCTAGTTTTTCTGCTTCCTAGCAATGTAACTTTGGCAAATTACTTAAGCTCTCCATGCCTGTTTCTTTATCTATTACAATGACAGTAATAGTATCTACTTCATAGGGTTATTGTGGCAGTGAAAGCAGCTAATACATATATAAGGTGATTAGAACAGTGCCTGGCTCACAGTAAGTGTTCACTACCTATCAGCTATTATGAAAGCCTGTCTTTGATTCCTCAGACCTGCAGGTGAAGGTGCAAGACAGTACAATGCAGTGGTACCAGCAGCTGCAGGATGCTTCCAGTCGGTGCATGTTGGCCTTTGAGGGGCTGACCAGCAGCAAAGACAGTGAGGTAGGAGGGATCTAAATCAGGAATTCTCTGGGTCTGATAGGGCTCCCCACAGCCTCGTGTCCCAAAGGAATGTAGCTAGCATGTCACGTTCCCTAGTCCTCATGGCATCTACTCAGCTCTTCAAAATACTATCTGCCTTCTCACTGTTCTCTTCTGGCAGGCCAAAAAGATAAAGATGGACCTCCAGAAGGCTGCCACCATCCCAGTGAGCCAAATCTCCACCATTGCAGGTTGGTCAGAGGAGTTAAGAACATAGTCCTTCACTTCATTTTGTTATTTTTAAAGAAAGACTCCAAATCTACTTATCTGTAAGGTTCCTATAAACAGAGTATGTTTGCACACATGTTGATGGTTGGATCAGGTATGTCTAAGTTATATGCATCCTATTTTGCTTTCCTCTGGTTCCTCTTCAACACAGAGAAGGTAATCATTATGTGTTTGTTGACTCATTTTTTTTAATAAGCTATATATTAATAGTAAATTATTTAGGATGGCCCTTACCTAAAGTCCAAAGTTACTGCTGAAAACATCACTAAGGGAACTAGGATGTGACTTGTATTCTTTGCTTTGTCCTACAACCTTAGCTTTTCCAAACTTGAAGCCTGCCTTGTTAATACTTTAGAACTTGTTCCTTTTCTCTCCAGAGACTGAGATTTAGAGAGGAAGAACCAGACAGGGGAAAGACCCTTCTTCCTCTTCTTCTTTAGAAACAGAGGTTCATTTTTATAGAGCTCTAGATGTGGAAGCCTCCAAATTACAGACTGTGCTGCCAAGTGGCTGAGGAGCATGTACAGCCAGAAAGCTGCTCTGATTTAGCGTGGGTCCCAGTTCCCCTGGCTTACCTGTTGCCTAAAAAGCATAGGAAAGTTGCAGTTTCTGCCGTTGAGAGGCTGTATGACAGCACTTAGATATCACTTTGCTGCCTGAAATTCTCTCTGGAACAAGGACAAGGTATAAATAAATAAACACGTATCACTTTCTGGAATTTAAAGTGCCATTTCCTTTGATAGCAACAGCAACGGGGGAGAGGTTGACGTGACAGCCATTCCACACCTTCGCTGCCCTCCTCAGGCTTATCCTCAGTTTTTACCCCTCAGTTGAGCACAGATAGCCTTGCGTCCTCCTTCATCAGGAAAATCGAGACGCCCGGTGTGAGATCCTCAGATGCCTCCCCTTCCACCTTTGCACAGCTGTACTTACCTCTTTTCTCCTGTTTCAAAGGATGAAGTGTCCTTCCAGCCCATGCTTGACCTTCCACCTCTGCCTTTGTCCCCATCCCCTCTCATCTCCTTCAAGACTTTGCCTCATCATTTATCGCCTTTCTCTCCCATTTTCTACAGTACTCCCTTTACAGGCTCCTTTCCCTTTAAACATGCTTGAGTCACTCACATCCTAAAATATGTTTCCTTTGATTCTTTATCTTCTAAATATTTTCACGTCTTCCTCACATGTGGATTTGGCACTGTTGATCTTCCCGTCTTTATGAAACTCTGCTCCTTTGGCTTCCATGGCAGCATTACTTTCCAGGTTCTCCTCCTGCCTCTCTTTCTCCTTTGTGGGTTCCTCGGTCTCCTCCACACCTTAACTGTAGGTGTTTCCTAGGGATCCACTCTTACCCCTCAGTTCTTCTCGTTCTACAGACCCCATGGCTTCGGCCATGACCTGTGTGCAGATGACTGTCAGATCTGTCTCTGGTTCATTCCTTTCCTCTGAGCTTCAGATTCTCCAGCTCCAGCTCCCTGCGGGACTTCTCCGCCTGGCTGTCTCTCAGATACCTCAAGTTTAATATGTTTAGATCTGAACTCATCATCTGCCTTATGCCTGCTTTGTCTGCTGTTTGCTCTAAGTAATCAGAGCACCATTATCTACCCAGTCTCCTTAGCTGGAAACCTGGGAGTCATCCCCACGACTGCCTCCTCTGTTTCATTCTCTACGTCTAGTTAGGGTCTAGTTTTGCGTTCTTCATTTTCCTGCATTTTTCCTGACTGTGTCTCTTTGTCTCCATCATTATTGTAAGCCCTTTAAGAACTTACAGTCCAGCCAGACACAGACATGCTGTAGAGTTAGTGCTCAGTAAATGTTGGATGACCGAGAAGAGATCTAACTCCTACCTCTGTAAAGGTGGACGTCCACGAGTAGTTGGATTCAGAGCAGAATTTAAATAAGAATGTGGTGCTGGGGTGGCATATGGGATGTGGGAGGCCATGTCAGGCGTAGGGTTGGGAGCTGACTCTCCTAACTGGAGAGGCGTGGAGAAAGGGGCTGAGTGGGGATTCGGCCAAGAAGGTCCTTTGAAACCATCAGTAAAGTAGTAATAGAGTGTGACTTAGTAGGAGTGTGAGTGGGGTAAATTTGTATGGAAATGTACGTATTTTACTATCTCAGTAAGGTTTGAGTCCCTGTTTCTGTTTTTCTGGGATTATTAGCCTTGGGGCTTCTATGATATCTCATTATTTAATTCTTGTTTCCCTCCTGCTTTTCTTACTTCCTAGAAAGGTGGCTAGCTGGGTTTTTTTGTTTGTTTTAATCGACCTGAATCAGTGGTTTGAGGAGGATATTTCTGAGATTCTTTTTTTTTTTTTTAATTTTATTTATTTATTTTTTCCCCCCAAAGCCCCAGTAGATAGTTGTATGTCATAGCTGCACATCCTTCTAGTTGCTGTATGTGGGACACAGCCTCAGCATGGCCGGAGAAGCGGTGCGTCGGTACGCGCCTGGGATCCGAACCCCGGGCCGCCAGCGGCAGAGCTCACGCACTTAACCACTAAGCCACGGGGCCGGCCCTCTGAGATTCTTGTAACATTTTTTAAAATGATTAGGAGCTTGTCAGGATATTTCTAAACTGGAGATGCTATATTAATTTAAATAAAATTAAATTGATTGCAAGTAGTGGAAACTAATTCAGATCTGTTTCTGTAAAAAACAAAACAAAATAAAACAAAAAAGTTTGTCCTAAAGATAACAAGGTATTTTATAGAACCTGATGGTGGGAATGGGGCTAGGTCTCAGGAGCTAGAAACTTTAGGACACTTTTCTCTCGTACCTTGTCTTCCCTCTGTACATGTCCATTCTTATTTTATAGACTGCTGTTCTTTGGTCCACATGGCATTTGCAAGGCCCCACTGCTCACAAGTGTATGTGTTCCAGGCCAGCCACTTCAAGGAATTAACTCTGTCAGTCGGCTGATTGGCTCAGCTAGACTATCCTAATCTAACTTTAGGCACTATAGAGGATAGGACACAGAGGATCTTTCATACAAATACAGCTACTAGGAACCCACTTCTATGTCTCTGAGGATGGAGAGAGGCAGGTCTCAGGGAAGGGGAGGAAATCATTGTGAGCTGGGAAGATCCTTTAGAAGGTTTTTCCTAAAGATGCAAATGACTCCTTTAGGGACATCAACCATGGCCCATGGGATCTATAACAATTCAAAACCTATTTCCATATTGTTCATCTCTCTGTTTGATGTGTCAGTTTCAGGATTAGTTCATTCCCAAATAAGGAATTCCTTTGAAATAGTACTATGTCTTATGTACTTTTTGCACCCTCCACAACATGTATTTGATTGACATTTATTTTTCTGCATGAGTATTTTGGCTTTAGGCTCTGAACTGCTGGAGGGCTGCACAGCTGGATTTATATAGATTCCTTGTTATTACAGTGGTGAAAATTAGATTGATCTGCAGTTGTATCTTTTAACTAGCTTCCTCTCTTTCATACCCAGGCTCAAAGCTGAAGGAGATCTTTGACAAGATCCACAGCCTACTCTCTGGAAAACCTGTTCAGTCTGGTGGGCGCTCTGTGTCCGTGACAGTTAACCCACAGGGCCTGGACTTTGTCCAGTACAAACTAGCAGAGAAATTTGTGGTGAGAAACCTTGTTTACAGAGCTATGGGAAGAAGAGGCTGGTGCACAACATTTAAGCTTTTCTTGAGTATTAACTTAAAATTGTCCCCATTTCTGTGTTCCCAGAAACAAGGAGAGGAGGAAGTGGCCTCTCATCACGAAGCAGTCTTCCCCATCGCGGTTGTGGCCTCCGGGATCTGGGAGCTCCACCCCAGAGTGGGGGACCTCATTCTTGCTCACCTACACAAGAAGTGTCCTTACTCTGTTCCTTTCTATCCATCTTTCAAGGAGGGAATGTCTTTGGAAGACTATCAGAGGTGAAGTTGTTTTTCTCCTTCCTCACTGTCCCTAGGGTGATCAATGAAATATAAATAGAATTTCTATTCCTCCTTCTCACAGCTCCTCTAATGTACCTTGAATGTTCTATCGGAGAATACAATGTCTTTCATGCAAACTGGATAGCTTTGGAATTTGTGGGTTTAGGTACCAATAATCAGTATAGTTTACTGGAAAGAATACTGGGTCTAGAATCCAGGGGTCTTAGAATTTTATCCCTGGTTTGCATTTAATAGCTTTGCAAAACTGGGTAAATCATTTAACATCTTTGAGCATCATTTTCCTTATTTGTAAATAATATCTGTAACCTCCTGTGAGTTTACCTCACAAGGCTTATATGATGCACAGATTGGATAATGGAGATGAGTGCTTTGTAAACAAAGATTCTATAAATGTAATCATATGTAATAATTTATTAATAATAATATATTGCTACTTTTAGCCATAAAAAGTAATCTCTGATTTGTCACCCTTGCTTTGGCCTTGTCACATTGAATTTTTTTTTCCCATATAGGATGCTTGGCTACCAAGTGACGGATTCCAAAGTGGAACAGCAGGACAACTTTCTCAAACGCATGTCTGGGATGATCCGTCTCTATGCTGCCATCATCCAGCTCCGGTGGCCTTATGGAAACCGACAAGAGGTAGTAGAAAAGGCTTACTGTCGCTAATGAGAGGCCGGACCATATAAGTACATTCCATCTGCAGGAAATATTGACCTTCTTTCAGAGAGGGCAGTCGAGTTACATGATAAGTTAAAGTGTATTGCTGCTTCATAGGTATTCTTTAGAGAAGTCGCTGATTGTTAGGGAAATTTTGGATCCTCAGAGCCATTTGTTCAATGATTGACTCAGCTGAGGCTTTAAAGAACTGAGTTTATTTATTTATTTATTTATTTGTGAGGAAGATCAGCCCTGAGCTAACATCCATGCTAATCCTCCCCTTTTTGCTGAGGAAGACTGGCTCTGAGCTAACATCCATTGCCAATCTTCCTCCCCCCCCCCCCCCCCCCCGCCAAAGCCCCAGTACATAGTTTTATGTCATAGTTACACATCCTTCTAGGTGCTGTATGTGGGACGTTGCCTCAGTATGGCCGGAGAAGTGGTGCATCAGTGCGCGCCCGGGATCTGAACCCGGACCGCCAGTAGCAGAGCGCGCGCACCTAACCGCTAAGCCACGGGGCTGGCCCTAAAGAACTGAGTTTATAAAAGATTCTCCCAGAGGAGAGTCTGTTGTAAATTAATCATTAGGTTAGAAGATTTTACTAGAAGAGGAGTGAGCAAGAAATTGTCATATGAAACCTAGTTGGTGCCTTAGAGGCCATCTGGGTCACTAACTTTACTTCCCAGATGGACAGATAGGGGCTTAGCAAGCTGTGGTGATAGACACTTGTCAATGGCAGAGCCATGGTTGGCTTTGGCCCACCAGCCCAAGTCTTTTCTCAAGGAATACAGATTAGAGAGATGGAGAAATTAATGGACTTAGAGACCTAAAGAGAAAAGAATATGTCAATAGAAACCAAGAAGTTTTTTGTTTTTTTTTTGTTTTTTTTTTTAAAGATTTTATTTATTTTATTTTTCCCCCCAAAGCCCCAGTGGATAGTTGTATGTCGTAGCTGCACATCCTTCTAGTTGCTGTATGCGGGACTCGGCCTCAGGATGAACGGAGAAGTGGTGCCTCGATGCGCACCCGGGATCCGAACCCGGACCACCAGCATCGCAGCGCGCACACTTAACCACCAAGCCACAGGGCCGGCCCAGAAACCAAGATGTTTTTATTGTGCACCTGCTGTGTCCCAGGTTCTATGCTAAAGGTGCCACGAATAATAAATAAAATGTCTGTAAGGGTAATTGTTGGCCTGTGAAATCCCTGAAACTGAAGCTGACAGATATGTATTGAAGGGATCTTGTAAAGAATGTGTGGGTACCAAGGTATTGGAACATTTAAAACCAGAATTCAGTGCCGGCCCCCGGGGCTTAGTGGTTAAGTGCACGTGCTCTGCTACTGGCGGCCTGGGTTCAGATCCTGGGCGCGCACCGACGCACCGCTTGTCAGGCCATGCTGAGGTCACGTCCCACATACAGCAACTAGAAGGATGTGCAACTATGACATACAACTATCTACTGGGGCCTTGGGGAGAAAAAGGGGAAAAAAAAGGAAGAGGATTGGCAATAGACGTTAGGTCAGAGCCAGTCTTCCTCAGCAAAAAGAGAAGGATTGGCATGGATGGTAGCTCAGGGCTGATCTTTCAAAAAAAAAAAAGAAAAAAAAAGAATTCATTTGGCTTGTACTGTTTCTCCCCTGCAGCCTGTGCTTGGGTTAGATGATCTAGTGATCTAGGGGTTCATGTCCATCTAGTAATGGCTGGATGATAACACTGGAACTTTAGATCTCTGAATAAAATGAGATCAAATCATGACCAAGCTTCTCTCCTCCCAGGTTCACCCTCATGGCTTAAATCATGGCTGGCGCTGGTTGGCACAGATCTTAAACATGGAGCCCCTGTCAGATGTGACAGCCACCCTCCTCTTTGACTTCTTGGAGGTATGTAATGCAGGTATCACACAAGACAGAGCCAGTGGTTGAAGCAGCCGTGAGCCACTGCATGACATGAGTGGGAAACAATGTAGAAATAGAGGCTGATGGTGAACAGCGTTAGGGTCCAATGTCATAAATTTTTTCCCGAGCCCTAAGACAAAACCTAGCATTTGATTTTTCTTCTCACTGTACTTCCCTTCTCTGTGTGGATGTCTTCTGCTTGTAAAGAACAGAAAACTGTATGGAAACTAGACTTGATGGTGAACACAATGCAATCTATACAGGAGCCAAAATATAATGATGTACACCTGAAGTTTACAGTGTTATAAACCAATGTGACCTCAATAAAATTTAAAAAAATAATTAAAAAAAGGAAAGAAAATTGTATGTCTTAGCACAAGTGAAAATGGGAGTTTGTTTTAGGGATTTAGAAGCGACTCCCAGAACCAAGGGTAGGATGTGTAGGTGAATTTCATGAGACCTGGAACCAGGAACTGGAATGTCACCAGGTACAAGATAGTCCCTCTCAGGGCCACGTGGTCTTTCATATCTGCTCTCCCTGTATGTTGCTGCGTTCCTGTTCTGTCGGCCAACTTTCTCTAGTTGTTCGTGCACGGTGGAGAAGATGGCCATCCTGGGCTGTATTGCTCAGCCTCAGTGTGCTCACCCAGTGTAGTGGGACTGGTATCCCACCTTTGTGATTCCTAATTCCCAGGAGAGAAAATATGATTAACCAGCTTGTGTCGGGTATCTCTCCCTTCCAGAAGGCTCCAAACAGTTCTGTCTGCTTATGAGAGGCCACCCTTATAGGGTGATGGTAAGGGTTTCTGTGGAAACAACATACTTCTTAAAGAAAAAAGGCACATGCCATAACAAATATGGGACCATTTGGCCAAAGGGTCCTTGTCACCTTAATAGCTCCTGAGGTTACAGTATATGAACAATGATCCTGAAACATGGAGAGCACAAGTGGTATTCTGTATACTTGGCTTACTAAGGTTGAGAGGTATGCTAGACCTTTAAAAAGTCTTCCATTCAATAGAATCAAAGAGGAATAGTTAATAAAGTTTGATTCACATTTTCTGGTTTTCTGAAACTCTTGGCTGCCTGGCATTCTGGTTAAATGGATATATTGCCATATACAGAGAAATGCTTCAAAAGAAAGTTGGATTTTTCCGTTTATTCCCTTGGTTAGCTAGCTAAGTGGCATTGTGGCTGAAATTCTTGATAGGACTGAAAGGCAAAGGGCCAGCTGTGCTTTCTGGCTCTCTCATATGAGTGTGCATTTTCATTCTCTGCTCTGACAGTGCCTTTCCTTCCCTCTAGGTGTGTGGGAATGCCCTTATGAAACAGTACCAGGTCCAGTTCTGGAAGCTGATACTTCTCATCAAAGAGGACTACTTCCCCAGGTATTAGACTTGTTAAGCAGACACAAGGGGATTCAGTAGTTAAAACTCGTGACAGCAGATACCCTTGGGTGCTGTACATGCTATTTTTGACTCAGTTAAAAACGTATTAAGTGTGACATCTTCTACTCTCATCCTTCTACTCTTTGATGTTTCAGTAAACACTTTTGAATTCTAATGAGAGTCTCTTTTAAATATTGTTGGCTAAATGAGAAAACAAATTACGAAGATCTTAGATTCAGATACCTGACATTATTAAACTCTGTTCTTTTGCAAACTCCCCCAGATAATTGGGAATGGTGATTACATGCAGTCATGAATGAAACAAGGTTATCAGGCCGCCTCAGTAAATCAGTTGTCCGCTTGACTCTGTCGCAGCATTCACCTTTAAGTACCCTTGTCATTCCTCTCAACCATCTGGCATTTCAAGTCGGTGAAAGGCCCACCTGACCACAAAGACATTGGGAAGGAGCACTGCTCTCTTCTCCTTTATCTCCTTGTTTGAAAAGAAGCTTGAAACCATTTGGAAGAGCAACAGAATCCTTAGACTAAAAGCCAGCTCTGCAAGTCATTTGATCTACCCTTCACTCCAGATCAGCAGGGTACCTAAGTCCTCTCCCGAAGAGGTGGGAATCATGTGTCTTCTTTCTCTCCCTTAGGATCGAAGCCATCACAAGCTCAGGACAGATGGGTTCTTTCATACGCCTCAAGCAGTTCTTAGAGGTAAGATGCCCTAGACTAACGTGTCCCACACTGTTGCTGGCCTGGAATGTGCTTTTGTGTCTGACGAGTCTTGGACCTCCAGACTCTCAGATTGCAGTCTCTTCCTCTGGATTTTTTGAAGCCCTACTTTTTGTCCATAATTCCCCCTTAACCTTAAGGGCTGCCAGTTCATCTTCTTTTTACATGTCATTCTCCATACTGCCTGTGGAGAAGCTAGCCTAAGAGACGAATAAAATATATTTAAGGAATCTTGTCTCACCAGTACATTTTTTGCATGTTGGGGAAGGTTTGTTTCTCAGTCTCAGGTCTGGGGAAGGGGTAAGTGTGGTCACATTTCTCTATGAGAACAGACTGCACATTCAGCCAGGCTCCTCCCTTATTTCCAAGTGCCAAAAAATTTTAAGAGGTTGACTTTGACAATTTAGAACTCTGTGGGAGGTCTGCCAAGATAGCCCGCTGCCTTCCAGTTTCCTCTAGCCCACTTGGTAAAATAGTGACAGTGAAAGACGAGGCCAGGCCGTGGGAGATGAGGGTGGGACAGGCATAAGAATTGCATGGCATTCGTCCTCTGCTGTAATTCACACAGAAGCAGAGGTTTTACACTCAACTATCCGTCTTATTGGCTTTTGCCTTTCTCATCCACTGTTCCGTAGGACTTAAACTTGCTGTCCCTCAAAGTTTCTTCCAGCTGTTAAGTGTTGGAAGCAGTGTGATCAGAAAATCATTCTGTTTTCTTCATCTTTCCCTGACCAGAAATGTTTGCAGCGCAGGGAGATTCCTGTCCCCAAGGGCTTTCTGACGTCCTCCTTCTGGCGTTCCTGATGTCACCCCGTCGCCCACCGTCACCATTATGTTGCAAGGGGCAATAATAAAGCAACTGAAGACAGCTGTATTTGGAAGAAGTCATGTCAGATTTAGGAATCTGTCAACGTGTATTTTCCTGTATTTGTACCTTGTGACTAGGAGAGGAGATTTTCATGGGTCACAAAATCTGGGAGGTACCTTAGTAGATCTGATGACTCCTTAAGGGCTCCACAGGACAGAGTAAATGGAATTGGCCATTCTCATTTTTGCAGAAGTTAATGAGAAGAGGTTTAGCACTTGGTCTCATCCTTTATTTCCTTTGTCTCCAGTATCTTTCAGAAAGTAGGTGATACCTTAACCGGTTCACTCTGAGCTGAAATGAGCCCACCTCTTTCACTCCCTACCCGCACCCTCCGTGCTGTCCCTGTTCAGATGAATTCCCCTTTAAAGTAGCTTTTAATAGTTGAGGCTCAAATCCTTACATGCAAGTCTGGGTTATGGTTATAGTTGTTTCTCAGTTTGTGGAATAATTATAAATTCAGAGGAAATGCCTGATGTAGACGTGGACTAAGTCCCAAATTGCATCAGGGACAGCTTAGGGTCTAGGGTTAGGACTGGTAGCACGTGTTCTATCGAACCAGGAAGCACTGTTGGTCCTCTAAATTTGGAATTTGGTCCCTGGATGACTAGGGACCCATGAACCAGGGGAAGTGCCTTTTTTGTTTTTCAGTTTGAATTAAAATAGGCTGAGATGAGGCTTTCAACATTATATATGAGCTGAGCATCCATAAGCAATGAATCAGAAGTTAAAGATGTTAAGGAGGTATTGAGAACTGCTTTATAATTTCTTACATGTTCTGAGTAATGAATGATGATAGATTTGCCTGACTAAAGCCACTACAAAAATCTAGAGCTTGGCTTTTCAGATAAGAGTTGAGATTTGTTTTATGGAAAGACTTATTCTCTTTTTATACTGCAGAGGCAGCAGTCATGGATCTATTCTCTGTACTAAATGTTGTGTGCAGGAGTGTGTTTGTTGGGGAGTATTCCCTGGGAAGTGACCCATTCTATGAATTATTGACTGTGGTGCCAAAAAATAAGTAATAAACTTGATTCTTTAAAAATACCATTGCTGGGGGCCGGCCTGGTGGCGTAGCAGTTAAGTTCACATGCTCTGCTTCGGCAGCCCAGGGTTCACCGGTTTGGATCCTGGGCACGGACCTACATACTGCTCAGCAAGCCATGCTGAGGCAGTGTCCCACATAGAGCAACTAGAAGGATGTACAACTATGACATAGAACTGTCTACTGGGGCTTTGGGGAGAACGGGGGAGAAAAGGAGGAAGATTGGCGACAGATGTTAGCTCAGGGCCAATCTTCCTCAAAAAAAAAAAAAGTCTTTTAACGTGGACACAATGGCATGAACCTAGAGAAGGAGTTGGGAAATGGGCTCAATTCACTTTTAGGTTTTGTGGCCTTGGGTCGGTCATTCACCCTCTCTGAACCTCAGTAGTCCCACCAGCAAAACATAAGAATTGGACTAGTCAGTAGATCAGTGGTTTTCAAATTGTGCTCCGTAGCAGTGCTTTAGGGCAGTGCTTCCCAGCTGGTGTGTCGGGGCACACTGATCCCTTAGCCCCCGGGGCCTGTGGTGGGTGGACCCCCCAGGGCCAGTGCCACTTGCATTTCCTCTCTTTACCTGTGCTTACAAATGGCATCGTCATCTAAGTATCATGATGGAACAGGTAGGGAAGCACTGACTTCGGGGTGTTGAGTGGATGGGCTCAGCCCTGCCGTCAGTCAGCATATAAAGGCTTTGTGCAAATTCTAAAAAGGCATCCCTCCCTTCAAGATCCACTGCCATCTACTGGAAATTGTCCTATTAATAACTGAAAATCTATGATATCAGGAGTTGAATGGTGCCTACTAGAGTTACACAGCTCACGTTTTGCACAACCTCTAAGTGGGGCCCCAGTGGAGCTCTGGGATCCTCTCTGCCACAGCATTTTTGCTTTATGTGCTCTATATATTGGGGTTCCATATAAGACTATATATGGAACAGTTCCTCTGCCAAAAGTAAAATGTGAAAAATCAAGTTCTCTTCCACTTTGAATTTGTGCCACTCCAAAGAAAATGCTTCTTAGAATATTTGAGTGTTCTTTCTCTAGACATGTTTAACAGTCTTTCCCATGTTGTTCAATGCTAGGTATTCCTAATGGGTTCTTGATGGTAAACCAAGAAAGGAGACCCCTGGGGAGGCCAGGTTTTTGATACTCACTGATAGTGTCACTTTCAGAGATCACGATTGCCCGCTGATAGATGCAACTCCTGGTGGGTGGTAGCATCAGATTCCTTAGAGTAGAATGCTAATGACTGTGTAGAGTTTTTAAATTCAAGTACTCACTTGCCTGCTTGCTTCCTTTCAAGCTTGACCTCATTTCTCAGGCTGAGTGCCCATATTTTTGTCATATCATTGTCCTACGTCATTTTAGAGCAAATTTGATGATGAATTGAAAATTCCAATAGGAGAGAAACGCTACACATCCCTTGGGTAGAAGAATGGAGTTGTTCTGGGCATTTCCCACCCAGGTGCTGGGAGCTGTCCCCTACTTTCATAGGAATATGATGGCAGCAGTGACATAATTAGGTTTGGATGTCTTCTAACTCCATGCCAGGACAACCGAAAGAGCCACAGAGCTTCTTACAGGTGCCTTATCCAACCTGGTCATTCACTTCCCTTTTCTCTGTCCCACCTAATGAATTCCTGATGTTAGATTTCCTGGGACCTGCAGAAAGCAGATGAGAGCTGGGGTCTTCCAGCTATGTGATAAATTTACAAAAACACCCATTATAAAGGAATTTGTCCTCTAGTTTATTGCCGGGCTTCATTTTTTAAATACCAGTTCATACAGATGACATTCAAGAAATATTTTTCTTGGGGCCGGCCCGGTGGCATAGTGGTTAAGTTCACACACCACGCTTCGGTGGCCCCGGGTTTGCAGGTTTGGATCCCGGGCATGGACCTACACACCGCTCATCAAGCCATGCTGTGGCAGCCTTCCACGTACAAAATAGAGGAAGATTGGCATAGATGTTAGCTCAGGGACAATCTTCCTCAAGCAGAAAAAAAAAGCATGAAGTTGGAAAAATAACCTGTTTAGGAGGTGGCTAAGCTCAGGTCTGGAGAAAAGCAAGAGGAAATGATCCTGTGGAAAGGTAAGCTGGAACAAGCTTGAGGAGGCTCCTGAATCTCTATTGAAATAGTCTGCACGATTCTGTAGGCAATGGGAAGCTACTAGATTTCTGAGAGAGTTTGACATGGTTTGTGAAACATTCTAACTGTGTCTTCAAGATGAACAGGAGGTGTAGAGACTGACGGGGCCTAACAAGTCAGCCCACAAGATTACAGATATGACATAAGTGAGCTGAGTTAGGAAGATGTCCCAGGGGAGAGAGGAGCTCACCTCTCTGCTGTCACCTGCAGTCCTTTTAAGAAGGCCAGCCTGGGGGGCCAGCCCAGTGGCCTAGCTCCACTTCGGCAGCCCTGGGTTCGCAGGTACGGATCCCAGGTGCAGACCTACACACCACGCATCAAGCCATGCTGTGGTGGCATCCCATATACAAAATAGTGGAAGATGGGCACAGATGTTAGCTCAGGGCCAATCTCTCTCACCAAAAAAAAAAAAAGGCCAGCCTGTCAAGGCCATGCTCCCAGCAGTTGTCAGGCCTCTTCTCTAATGTGGTCTCTGATTTCAGAAGCAGTCACGGTGTCTCATTTTTTTTTTAATTGTGGCAAAATGTACACAACATAAAATTTACTATATTAGCCATTTTTAAGTGTACAGTTCTGTGGTATTAAGTATACTCATGTTGTTGTATAACCATCACTATCATCCACCTCCAGAACTTTTTCATCTCACAAAACTGAAATTCTGTCCCCATTAAACACTAACTCCCTCTCCCCCTCCCCCAGCCCCTGGCAACCCATGTTCTACTCTCTGTCTCTATGAATCTGACGATTCTAGGGACCTCATGGAAGCAGAATCATACAATATTTGTCCTCTTGTGTCTGGTTTATTTCACTCAGCATAATGTCTTAAGGTTCCTCCAGTCACTGTTGTGAAGGTCTGTGCTGTTCCTTGCCAGCTCTCACACTGCAGAATGTCGTCTGGGAAGCAGTGCAGTCCACTTCTGGCCTGACTTCCCAATCAGCTCCCTTGTTTCGAGGAAAAATAGAGGAATGCTTGGTGCTTGCTTGTTAACTGTGCTTGTTAACTGTGCGTGCGTGCGTGTGTGTAGAGCCTCTCCCAGAGAGAGTGGGCAAGTAACTTTCCATGGCCGGAACACGTGAAAATATCATTACAATTGATGTATTCCCCAACGGTTGACCTCTTGAACAAGTTGAAAATGTACTGAGACCACTTAGATGCCTAAGCTTAGGGCATATACCAAACCTTCAGAGAACGCTGGAAACTAGGAAAAGGAGCTACCTGCGCTTTTCACGAGGCCAGGGACGAAGTGACTGAGAACCTGGAGTTGATTGGTTACAGAGCTGCTATACTGTCCTCTGCTTTTTTCTTTTTTTTTCTGAATGAGTTTCTCTCAGACAACAAAGAGGCCATTATCTGCTTTGTCATCTCCCTCTCCCCACACCTAGCAGAGTGTTAGGCTATGGTGAAATTGGTGGGAGGTGAGGTAGGCAGACAATAGAACATGTGAAAAATGGCTTTTTAAATGCCTCCAGTGCCAAATGCAGACTGGGGTGCATGAGTGAGGGGGAGGCAGAAGGGCTGGAGACACTGCTTTTTGGCCATGTCTCAGATCAGACAAAGGATCAACAAATATGATTTCAGTGTCTGTCTCAATATAGAAGCTCTCTCTAAGGTCAAATCTGTTTTGCATCTGGTAAAAGCAGCCAAACCCCCATTTCCCTATGAGGCCAGAGTGATTTAAAAGAAAAATCCTCCCTTTTTATAGCTCCTGGCCACAGCCTTGAGACCCATTCTTTGCCGGAACAGAAGGTCTTGGAAATTTTGGAGAGCTATGATTGTGTTAGCCATTTTGTACCCAGAGCTGAATATCTGATTAAACATTTTGCTGCTCCCCGCTGGAGAAGAGGCTGTCGCTGCCATCAGCTGTTCCCAGAAATGCACACCCCAGGGAGGAGTTACCGGTCCTGTTTTCTCTACAGAGGAGATTGCAGGAAATGCCTCTCAGCTCCTACGTTTTTCCTCCAGATTCTGTAAAGCTGCTTCTGGTGTGTGGCCACTCCTTTTTTCTCTCTGCTCTGATGGAGTGAAGGAATGGGAGAATTTTTCCTCACTATCATGGCTACAGCCAAGACTGCTTAGAAACCAGATTGCAGATCCCAGGCACAGAGGAAGAAGCCAGACTGCAGAGGACCAGGAAGCTCAGGGCTCGGCCTGGGCGCAAGCTCTGGTGC